CTCCATCCATTCGAATCTGTAGAATTTAGTTAAATGCTTATAATTTCGTCTATGACGAGAATACCGCTCTTTGCTGTCTCACACAAGTCACTTCATAAGGAACATCCATATCCGTTGCCCCAGCGACTTCATAGATGAATATCAAATGAAGCATACTCGTAAATGATTCGTTATCATCTCGAGTCGTTTTCTTTGATACCAAAAGATCTCTTCTGTATAGAATGGCTTTAAATGCGGCCGATTTTACCCGATCAAACAAAACTTTCACTTCACAGTTTTCTGTTACTAAGCTACAAACTAGTTCATTTTTCTTGTCGAAATGAGCACGAAGCAACGCATAATTTGCAGGTCATTAGACTGCAGATAGATGAAACTGTCCATGGAAAGAAACATGAAGATTTCTTTCTGAGGAGAAATTGATATTTTGGAAAAAAATAGTTTCTAACAGCTTCAAAGGTCGACGTATAGCCGCTCTTGATCTTTGAGTCTCTAAACAATTTCTGTCTCCATAAACTTTTTTTTTGGTTTCCTGTTCTGCTTAGCTTATGATGGAGAATGTTTCGTTGCTTCGTTCATGGTTTGAAATTGGCCATACCGTACTCCTCATAGAGATCTTATCCGCATATCGCTGACTGCTGCACTCTCTTTTGATGGCAATTCGGACTCTGTTATTGCCTCCGTGTCCGCCATTTTTGTTCCACCTTCTAGTTAGCTAACCGAACAACACTTCTTCATGAGTTCATTTTTTATCGAAAACTTCTAAATTCCATTACAATTACTTACTTCTATGATCCACAAGACCTCCACAGCTTGCTTGTGGGTTCGGATGCTGGTGTGCGGATTTTTCTGTTTTCGTTACGACTGTCGTTGAATGTAAGTCAAAGTCGATTTTTATCGAAATTTTTAAATAGCCGTGCTAGATCGTTCTCATGTGGATTAAACGGTATGTTGCTATTCTCACAGAGAAATCAGGTACTAAGTATCGACCTGGAATGAATGGGGCTTAATAGGTTGAGACAATTTGAAAAAGTGTCATGCACGTATTGAACGGCGTCATGGCCACGGTTCTATCATTCTTCTGATGATTAGAGACGGTTTTTTGTATAATCTGCTTCAATCGGAAGAGAAATATCACGTGACCTCATTCAGATGCAATGCGTTTGTCACAAACTGCTTACTTTAAAGCTTTGCAAAGAAATCATTTTCCAGCTTGTGAAAAGTTTTTGTCTTCGCAAATCGAGAACTCAGTCTGTCGTATTCTTAAGTATTTTCTAAACTCTGTTTTGTTGAATAGATAACGGTTCTAGAGCGCTTGTAATGGGATTATGGAGAACGAATAATTCCCAGACAAGTCTGCTGCGATTTTTCTAGTGCAGAAGGATGGTAGATTTGGTGGGTGCTAGCGTGGAACTGAACTAAGACGTTGCTCATTATAAAAGGCATCTACCATTGCGGTATTTGCCACGTCTATCGAATATCATTGTTGCAATTGTGGACAACGTAGTATCTATTTCGTAACTGGACGAAATAAAGTATCCACAAAACATATGTGAGAGAAATAGGAATGGGCTCTAAAAAGTTTCTACTCTCTGACCTCTAAATTATTGGCATACGTACTGAGATTTCGAAGGTAAATGCATGTGTTCACAGTAAACACAAAACTAAAGCTCGCGCAAGGTTGGTACATCTGTTTAAAGGCGATGGCTGACGTTTCTGCATTTTCGCCTTCCTCAGTGCTTAAAGTACTATAGCAAAACCTATCTGAATATTCTATTAAGATTTCCCTTCTTTTCGGTTATCCGGGAACAAATGAAGAAACAATCCCTTTCGCTGGGGAAGAACTTTTCATAGGAATGTTATTATACATTCGAAAACTTAAATCTCTGGCTAGTGCGCTACGCAGCAGTTTCTCGAGAATTCTTTTTATTACCTTCAGCAAGAAGAAAACATTTGGGTTTGACGCACTCGTTTTTCTCGCAGGGTATAGTTCTTAGTTCGCAGGATATATGAGGAGTGCGATTTTCTTTATTCAATTAAGAATTGTTTCTCCGCTTTGAAAAAAAAAACAAATAAAACATGTGACTCTGATATAACAAGATTTCTTCCACACGTTTATGTGCTTTTCGTGTCTCTATCTAAATGATAGTTGAAGTGACTTTTGGTACCGTTTCGTAATGCAGCTGCTTCCGGCGAGGTGTGTTTGAACGTTTACAAACAGTAGCCAAATCTCTTTGGTTGTTTTGCAGGTGGGCTTGATGCATTCTAACTGTTCACTCGACAATTCAACATTTACCCTTCTTTTCTTGTGTAAAACAGATAACAAACCAGCCATTTATGTAGCGGCAGTGGAATGATGACGATTGAGAATGAGGAGGCTCACCTCAGAGATCATGGCAATGGTAAGACATGGTCCTAGTCATTGACTATTAACCAACCTTGTGACCTGAGCATATTTCGACCTCGATCAACTTAGGGAGAGACGCACAATGTCTTCGACTCTATTGAGCGCCGCTGATTTCATAGAAATTGCGCTGGAGTTAGTGCTTTTGTAAATCGTCAGATACAACGAGATTTCTACTGGTCGCAGAATTGAATGAGAGGCCAAGTGCACTACATGACACCTCCAACCACTGTACTACAGGGGCTCCAGCAACTATATGCATAAATATATTTAGAAGCATAAGCACTACGATTCATTGAGTATAGTCATCTGAATGCTGTGAAATTTATACTGAAATTTTTTTTCTTAACTCTATAAAAATGTCATGATTGTAGAATATCAATGTCGATGTCTTATGTCAATAGGCGTAACGGAATCTCTTGAATTTTTCCTTTTGCCGATAAGTTAAGGTGTACAAGTATGTACCTTCTCCTAGGAGATACGAGAACTACCAGAGAATGAGTACATAACCTTTTCCTAGTGAGAGTTAGAGCAGAAGGTGATTGGAATAGAATGACGTCGACACGACAGCCAGGAAGGATAGTGGTTAAGCGAAGTGAACAACGAGTGCGCTCAGTCGCATAATTCTTAATTGGCATTTCTACATTTTTTGTCATTTCGAGCACGAGATCGTTAATATTGCTCAAAATTAAGCGAAATAATAGAATTATTATGTCCGCATGTCGCCACAGCGTAGCTAGTATTAATCTGAATTGGTGATTTCAATGTTTCACGTCACGTTTTCTGTTATGATATTTTTATTCTGATAGCAACTCTTATTGTCAGATATGGACGGCTCGTCCTTTCATGTTCTGCATGTCTTTTCTCCTCTTCGTCCAATCACTCTGCATGCATCTGCCATTGATAAGGAGTACCTGATTCGTGTTTGAGCTCGCAGTCATCCTCATCTTCGTTTCTCAATAATATGTTGAATACTTTCTCTTTGTCATTTTCGTTTCTCAGTAATATGTTGAATACTCTCCCCAGCACGTTTTCCGCAAGAAGTCAGACAAGACTATGCCAGAGCATTCTCAAGTCTTCTTTACAGGCACTCGTCGCCCTACATGAAGCGGAACAAAATTTTTTGTCTTACGATTGCAATACCTCTAAGGCAATGGTTTGTGAAAACGATCGATCGGTTGAGAACGATTTTAGAGGCCAAGTCTCCGTCTAATTTCTTAAAGTGTTCATAATTCTCCTTCTCTCAATCGGCTGCACCATTACCATTCTTTGGACATTGAGGCTATATGTACAAATGGCATAGAGTTTATATCATTAGTCAGGTCACTGAAACAGAAAATTTAACATTTATTCGGTGTTCTAGTTGAGAACCATGTTTACATCTTATAAACAATGTGATAGGAAGTGGAAAATTTGCCCGTGATGCACAAAGCCCAGAAGTAATAGCATCTAACCAGTTGAATCACAACTAAATAGTGATCTCTTTTTTTAAATTCCGTTTTATCTGTTATTTGTCTGCTCCTGATTATACTAAACGGTGACACCTTAGACAGGTGGGGAACGTGTAAACTCATAGATTCGATCACACGATAAATATTTTTCGTTTACATCACTAAGGACGTCTATACCACAGTAAGAAGAGGCGTGCTGAAACACACACGTGGTCCTTGGTTCGACCCTGTGGTCAACGCCGAGCACTCCCACCATTCATCCACGATTGGCATCCGAATTGAATTTATCTGGCAGGATAGCAATATTGACATGATACATCGATAGATTTCCATTAAAAAAAAATTTCGTTACCCAAACACACATGCAGCCACTTCCACAGCACTTTAGGAAATCGGATGCATGTCGCATTAGTTTGGGATAATCAATGTCAAACTTTTTAGTTGCTTTTTTGTGTCTGCTACTAACTTTTCAATTAACTCAATTCGACTTCAAGCAGATTGTCACAGTCAATCTTCTTTACAAAATATGTGACATTAGAGTTTATCTGCAATTCAGACGATGCTTTATTAGTGATGCGCTTCTTTCCACTTTCCACTCCTTCTTCATTCATTCACCTTCAGCACATGAGGCAGTGTTACCCTCAAGAACAACCCAAGCGAGTAAGCGACCAGTAAATCAACTGCTTATGCGTTTTGATCGTCAAAGCAGCCTAATGGACTCCATAAGGTGCACAAGGTGTGTATGGTATTTTTTCAAACGCTGCTTGTTGAACTTTTTGCCACAAAGTAACTTGGTTGGTTCTGTCTTAAAATCAGCTATGAGCTTCTATAGTGGAATATTGAATTTGTACAGTTTATGTGACCCGCATAAATAAAAACCATCAAAGAGTTGAAACTTTTCGAATGTAAATCAATCGCTCTTTCATGTGAGATCAGCTGATTCCCTTGATTGAGTAAAATGAAAGGCAATCACGACAATTAAGAAGTTTCTCAAAAATGTGCTCCTTATAAATCGCCTCTGTCAGCCGAGAATCCTTTCTGTTACTTGACTTCACGCTCTCACAATAGAGAAGGAACATCAGTTTTTTATAGGCGAGGTCAAATTTTTGGAGCAATGAACTTAGAGAATTGAGTGGTGAACAAAACACGGCCTCAGGCGGGAATCGAACCCGCGTTTCATCCTATCTGGAGACGCGTGCTCTACTCACTACACCACCGAGGCACCTTTGCCCGACCACTCATTCTTCAACATCTCTATGTTAGCTATCAGCCACCAACCTTCAACACGTTTGGTCGGGTATGCGATTTCGCTTTATAAACTCAGTTAAAAGCGAAATCGCATACCCGACCAAACCTGTCAAAGGTTGGTGGCTGATAGCTAATATTGAGATGTTGAAGAATGAGTGGTCGGACAAATGTGCTTCAGTGGTGTAGTGGCAAAGCACGCGTCCCCGGAAAGGATGAAACGCGGATTCGATTCCCGCCTGAGGCCGTGTTTTTGCTCACCACTCAATTCTCTAAGTTATGTAAGTAACATCATTACACTGCGATTAAACAGTAGAACTATTATAATTTCGATGCAATGGACTTATTTTGGAAGGAAAACGTTATCTGAAGTTGCGACTATTCGTTTATTCTTCATATTTTGGTAGTTTGATAGTGAGAAGTGATCACGAGGATTGCGACAGGACGATGATGAGTTATGAGTACAGAAAAAGCTTTTGAGAACTCAAATAAGTACAAACTATACTCTATTCATCTTTTGAGTTCATACCAATATTTGTTTTTCTTCAGTTCTAACCAAGACGTTTCTAACCACAGAAATGCTGAGATGCGAGCAAGTGGCGAGACTCAGGTGGGCTTTGAAACAATGACTGCCCTTTCTGAAAGCTTATGTTATCCACATCTCTGCTAAACCCCTTGCTTTGACTTTCCCAACAATATTTACACACTATTGAAAGGCGATATCTCCATTTATCTATTAGTTCTTCCCATAAGTTTTGCCACTAGAGCAATAGACACCGAATTTATTAACTAAAAGTGATTAAAATTGCTCAATAACACTATTCAAAGTGTATGCTATTCGCTTAAGCACACTTTTTACGGTTTCTCCGCCTGCCAGCATGTTCCAGTGAATTGGCCCGATCCGATCTCAAAAGGTGATGAGCGTAGCCTTTGCGGGAATCGATTGGACGTGGAATTGGAGTTGCTCGTTGGCCTGAAGGCAACCATTGATTCGGACGACATTGACACTTGAAAAAATCTATTTTTTCTTACGGTGATGAACTTGACCAGAAATGGAGCGCGAAGATCATGACGGAGCAGTTTTTGAGCGAACAGTGTTGTTAAGCAATTTTCTTCACTTCTCGTTGATAATTTTGGTATTTATTGTTCTCGTGTCAAAACTTATGAGAAGAGTTGATATTATTACTCTACACAATGCGTCAACTCTTGTGTCCGAATTGTTTTTTTGAGTCCACCTTTAAGAAATGCTTTTAAACTTCCCCTTACGTGTGGGTTCAATTCCTGCTAGAGGATTATCTCTATCTACTTCACGATTGCCTTTGAAGGCTGCTTGGATGGCTCTTTCTGGAATCGCAGTTCACTCGCCCTAGAGCATCCTCATGGATCGGAAGGAGTAGGTCTGTTTCACAACCATTTGGTATTAATGCCAAAGATTGAATTTTTAACTACGCGAAAATCACCTGCGCTTTTTCAAATATTTCTTGCAGACGAAGCTCACTGCGAAGGAGTAGTGTGTTTTTTTTTTACGTTTTTTGGCAGGGGTGTCACAGCTCGAAACACATTTCATTAATCAAAATTAGAAGGCATTAAAATTTGCACTTTTGGCTAACGAGAAGCAGCTTAATTTATACGGCTTGCGAAAAACATTCTAGACTCTTGAAGGCGATAATGTCATCAAGACAACTGTCTGGGCTCACTTTCTGATGTGTATGAAGGATGAACGTGAATTTCATGACTCAAGTCAAGTTGTACAGCGTGTAGTAGAACGAGTGGCCGCTCATAATCGTGAATTCGGGTTGATTCATGCTGTTAATCAAGCAATGGCGCCGTTGATGAAGCTTCTGGTGTATACCGTCCATCCACTCACCGTACTACGTCATCGTAACCGTAGCACCCTAATTCGGAAGCTGTGGCTGATCAAACTGTTAGATTGAGCAGAAAATTTGGAGAATTTTGCATGTTCCATATTATGATAACTTTGTGTCGTTTTCTGGTGATAGCTTTGTATACATTATCTAATTCATTAATTTCAGTTCCAAAATGCCTACTCAGAAGTTTGATTTCCGCATGTTGATCTGCCACTAATGGAGAAAAGGTTTAACGCTTCTTAAAGCTGTCGATGAGATTAATGAGGGTGAAGGTGCTAGTACGGTGACAAAATGGTTGATGGCTTGAGCAATTCAAATAAGACAATTTTGATCTCGAAGACACGCCTCCTTCTAGTCGGCCGTCTGTTTTGGTGAAAGTGACTTGCAATACGCTTGGAATGCTGAGCTCTCATCGAGCACTCGTAAGTTGTCTGAAGAGTTGGTGTTTCGCAGCGGACCCTTCTCAACAAGTTGCACCAATTTGACTTTGACTATAAAAAACCTCACCGAGATTTGCATGAGTTCGCAATGGTGGTTTATATTTTGAAGAATAATTATTGTTGATACCTTTCCGAGTGCTTTTTTAAGACCACGCTCAAATTTCAATAAATCCCTTCTACTATTTGAGCCAACTTGTCATGTGGTCTGGTAAGGGCTCTTATACAGCCCGATACACGTGTTTCGTCTTTACAGACTCGTAGTCGAGCAGAACACGTCTTTCGATATTTTTGAAGTCAGTGCTCAGTATCTCGGGAGCTCTGCTCCCTTACAGAGAGTTATCGAAGACGAACGTTAAAAAAAAAGCACTCGCAAGAAAGGGATAATATGATAAAAATACCAGCCAGCGAGCAATCGAGTGCGAAAACACTCTGTGTTAGGTGAAAATTTCGCCTAACATAGAGTGTAAAACGTTCGTCTTTGATAACTCTCTGTAAAAGAGCGGAGCTCCCGAGAGAACTGACTTCAAACATTTCGAAAGACGACGGGTTCTGCCCGCCTACCGAGTCTGTAAAGACGAAACACGTGTATCGGGCTGTACAAGAGCCCTTGCCAGACCCCTTGACAAGTTGGCTCAAAATAATAATGAAAGGATTTATTGAAATCAATGTTGACTTTGCTGCTAATTTGCGCTCATTGACAAAACTTTAGAAAATTTTTCTGAGTTTCTAGCTCAAGCTTAGTAAATGTAGATCACCAAACGGTCAGCATGACCTTCTGAGACTTAAGCTTGATTTTGAGAGATTCTGCGCAGCTTCACAGAAACTCAAGCACTTTGCCGATCACTAGCGAATATCATAAATCGCCCACTTTCAACGCACGTGTAAGTCACAATGCCATCGAAAAACACAACCGTTCCGATTGCGCACAAGAAGAGCTGATAATACCTCAACAATACAATTTTTTTGGTTGTGAGAAAAATTACGGTTTTCGAACGTGCTGAATTCGCATTTACTTTTGTTATTTGCTTTACATGACGAAGATGGTAGAATGGTTGGCAATGAGTTCTTCTGCAACATGTTGTAGTCGCAAGAGGATCAGCTTCGATGATTGCTTTTCCCATCATTTCGATGTGGTTGGTACGAATATATTTGCGCTTTGTACATCAATGAAATGCTTCGAAATGTCTCCTATGCACTATCACTGCACTGCACGTTCTTCAACAGTTCCTGGGCCAAATGCGTTGTCTGGCGTGCTGATCTCCAGAATTTTTCGGAAATTCACCATAAAATTATACTTTGCTTCAGTTACGCAAACCAGAGCTATCTATCTATCTAAAATGATCTTTGTTTGGCATGTAATAGCACAGAGTTCAGAGTTCAAAGGATAAGTTGATGTTAATGCTTATTCAAAAAGGAAATCATAAAGGTGGCAGCAATTCGAGGGAATACCTTAAATTTCCAGATTTCTCAACATCGTGATCTCATGACTTTTAGTCGAATACAACATAGAAGCCGCATCTACGCAAGCAACTGCCGCTATATAATTAGGTTTATAGTGAGGGTGTAGATCAATCAACCGCAGAAGGCTAGGATAGAAAGATTATTCACATGGCGTCCCAAGACGGTGAAGAAGTGAACGATGATTTTTGATTGTCTGCAAAATGGTGGAGCTATGTGCACTTTCTCCAGTGGCTCACATGTGGGAAGTACGTGAGAGGAGGAAACGCAAAAAATTGGTAGTAATTTCAGTTCTATTCAACACTTCAATCGATGCTACTATGTTATAAGTAGCAGTAAGATTGTCCGTTGTACAAGTTAGAGGGCAAAAAAGTACCGAGATACGAGTCAAACATGGGGTTGCTTCAAACCAACGATTGTCCTTTCTGTAGAGGTGACGAGAGGGAGCACTAAGTTTGTCACCAACATTATCGAAGCTTTCGTTCTGCCTTGTTCTTGAACGCGTTTCAGCTTATTCGGTGGCAGTCAGTGATAATTTACCAACGGGATTGATCTAGGAAGTACAAGTGGATAAAATTATTTTCTGCCTAATTTTTTCGTGAACGGTAGCGTACGGTGTGAGTTATGACTAGAAGAGTGCCAGAATACGAGAAAAAGTAGCTTCAAACGTGCAATTACCCTTACCGCGCAATCACAAAGTTTTTCAGATCTCCATTTTTTTTTACTGCTTTTTCTCAGTACTAAGATGTTTCACATACACTTGAAAGAATTGAGCAGTAAGCAAGGATTGATTTCAGACGGGAGTTGAACACTAGTTCTATCCACACCGGAGGCGCCTGCTATCATTAGCACCACCGTAGCCACCGCTTTGTCACCACTAAGTTTTTCACTCCGTTGCTTTACCTTCCTCATGGACGTGTTTTTCAAAGGTACATGTTGATTCTTTATTGTGCGCTAAGGTTTCACGACCTTCTTACGTGAACTTTATCGCTCTCGTCATTCATAATCGTTTCCTCACTCATCAATTTATTCGCTACCCGCCATTGAGCTTTCTGCTTCCTTTGCTCGCTGTAATTCATTCCATTAGTTTGAATCCGCTTGAAAAAACTCTCTCTTTACAACCCAATGGTCACTGGCTTCACCCGTGCGCAGGGTAAACCAAGTCTCTTCATTTTTTCACATTTTACGAATCGCTGCCATACTTGTCAGGG